GGCTCATGGTTGACTCAGCCTTCCATCCTTCTGAGGTGGGTGAAATAAGGACCCAGACTGTGGGGGCAATATGCTGACTCTGTAAACTGCTTAGAGAGGGCTGAAAGCCCCATGAAGCGGTATATAAGTCTAACTGCTATTGCTATATACATTCCACAGCGAGAGAGACTTTATGATGGATTCATACGTTGAACAAAATAAATTAATTGAACATTTAGAGTGGGAAAAAAATTACATAATTTTGTCAATATTTTTTATTTTTCAGCAGTAATATAATAGATTGCGGCTAAAGTCTTCTGGCACCTATTGCATATAGTGGAATAGGCATGCATTCTATAAAATTTGTCAAGGAAATCTTAAAAGAGAATGTGTCACTTTCTCTTATTGCCTAGCACGTGGGGAACTTCCCTAGGATTTGCATTTAGCCTTAATTAATTAATTAATTATTAAAGGAAATGCCACTTCATGCAGTTATAATGCTATAGAATATCCCACTGCTGAACTTCTAGATAATTTCTAAAAGGCCTGAGGTTAATATAACAATAAAAAGTTGGCCAGTGGCTGACATGAAATTTCTTACAGATTTATAAATTATAATAGAAAATTCAGTTCAGAAAGGCTTTATAAAGTCCTTTCCTATTGACTTGGTTCCCCTTACCAGTGGAAGCAGGTTAATTAATCAGGAGATGAAAATCTAGAAATGGCTACACTTAAACAGTGAAGTCATCTACCAGGTAGAATAGTCAGTCTACCAGATGGAAACCCATGCTTGTTTTGACAGACCAGTTGATCCTTTAAGCTGTTGGCTTTATTTGAAAAGGTGTATGAAAAAGTATCATTGGGCACAACTCAGTGGGTTACGGTACCTGGTGCCGGGAGCACCAGGTACCATTCTGGTACGGTGCTCCGGAGCGCCCGCCCGCGCTCCTTACCGGTATTTGAGGTTTTTGGGGCTTCTGCACATGGAGCATATGGTATTGCGGGCAATAAGTACGCATGCGTGCGCTGTGCGCATTCATGTGGTAGACACCTGGTGCCATTGCACCGTACTGGTTGCACCGAGATCCGGAACTCACCACTGGCACAACTGCATTAAAAACTCAATCGGGGATCCATTATTGAGATAGTTTGTTCAGAACATTAACAAGCTATCTCAATAATGATCTACATTATTATCTACATTAAGGTGGACTACTGTAGTAAAAAAGTTTTCAGGGTGATGTTAAAATGTTTTGGTTGATCAAACTTCCTTGAATGGATATTTGTTCTAAAATAACTGAGTCTGGAGTAGTTCATTAAATGTTGTATCCTGGGGGAGCAGATGAATCACTAGTATTACCAAAATAGCATTGCTTATGTTATCTAGTCTATAATATTTGTATCCTGCCTTTACTTTTGTACAACTCAGGGCAGGATATATAATGCTTCTACCTCCTACTTTTCCCCAGCACAACCCTGTGAGGTGGGCTAAGTTGAGAAAGTCACATAGTCAGTTTTCCTACCTAAGGGAGGACTAAAACTCAATGTCTCCCCAATTTTGACTCCAACACCTTAACCAGTACACTAAACAGGCTCTGCAGAAGCAACCTGGGTAGGTGGGTCACTTCTATATATTTTTTATGTAAAAATATGTTCATGTAGGTTGAAATGTGAACTGCTTATCCTTTATTATGGTACTTTCATTTCTTACAGCTTGTGAATACCTTTTTCAGTTTCCTGAGACGCAAAACTGATTTCTTTGTGGGGGGAGAAGAAGGTGCTGCTGAGAAGGTATATGATTCAGTTTATAAAGTTCTCTTTAAGGAAGATTGAAATCTTTCCCACAGTGTTCTTTTAAATCTCCCATTTTTCTTTGATTTTGTTATATTGCAATTCCATCCCACTCAGTTGCTGGCTCTGGAAAGAAATTAGAGAGGCCACATTATCTAATGTCTGACCTTAATTGAGCAGGTTTATTTCAGAGTATGACAATAATGGATGGTTTGGGTTATTTTGTTTGGTTAAGCTTTGGCTGGTTGAAAAGCTAGCATGTCAAAAAATGTATTGGTCTGACTCAGACACCCGAGGATCAATAATACCAGTTTATTTTATTTGTTCTCTCCTGGAAAGTACTAAGTCCACTTCTTCAACAGTGGTTTGTTCCCAAAGAGCAGAGTTTCTCTAACCCGATTTTGTGAAATGTTCTACATGATCCACTCTATTCCAAATCACTCTCTGTTTCACTGATGCGGCAGTATGACAAATCATTTTTTATTTTAACAACCCTTCTGTAAGTGTTCCAAACTATGTTTTGTGAACTTTTGAGGGGAGGGAATGAATAATTTGTAATCCATTCAGTATGTGTGAGCAGTTTAATTAGTACATTTAATTTATGAAACTATTTAGATTTTAAAAATATACTCGAGAAATTTTATATATTTCTTCTAAACGTTATAATTACTTACAAAGCCTTTCAAAAGTGGCTGTCACATCCCTGAAGGATGTACAGTGTTGACTCAAACCTTTTCTGTTTCTAATGGTGATACAGTATAGGAAATTGGAAAGTAATACTTACGGGGATGTGTGTGTGTGTGTATGTGTATGTATGTATATAATTTAAATCTTGTGGAATTAAGTAAACCTATAGGTAACCTAGTACAGCAGAAGTTAGGGAACAGAGTATACTTCCTCTATGGTGGTGCAATAGAAGAAGTATCTAGAACAGTACTGTTTAAAATCTGTTTGCTCCTTAAATTAGTAAAATGAGCATTCCATGAAAGGAACAAAATCACTAAAATTTAAACTCAGATTTGTTAAATGAGGAAGCCAGCAATTACTAAGCTTTTATATAAAGACTAAAATATCCAGTTGTTCACCACTTAAAGAGCCTGTTTCTTCTGTCCCTTTTTTCAAATTCGCAGCCGTAGACAAGGTCAGAAGTTGGCATGCGTCTCCAACATGTCACCATCCAAAGGGCAAAATAGATTATACGTTACCAATTTCAGCACTTCTGTTCACGACCCTTGGCTGCTGCAGTAGCCATGAAGGTCACCCATCATTGGGAACCCTTGAAATTAAGCCAGTTATGCAGTCAAATGATTGTGTCACCACTTGGAGTAAATACACTGTAGCCCTGACCCTCAGGACTTGTCTAAATTGTGGACAAAAGCTGTTCTTTCCTACTGCAGATTCTTTGGAAAGGAACAGATCAGTTTTATTATTCTAAAAAACTTTCAACAACTATACGTTTCCTGATACAGTCATTTTTGGAGTAGAAACAAAATATTTAGGAGTAGTGAGTGTGACTCTTTGCCTTAAATAAACTTTACAGGTCTGACACTCTTAGCTCCCTGTAAAAACAAATTGGTGAGTGGGAGAGAATAGTTTTACAATGTGGGCTACAGTTTTAACTTTTTAAGTCTCAATCCTGATTTCCCTCATTGGAGGAATTTGGGGGCTGGGAGCAGTCCTGAACATTCTATCTTTTGAAAGAGATCCTCCATTTGTTTTTTATCTCTACCAAGAAAACTGCATGAATGCAGTCCCAGCTATAGAGCTTGAATTGAGATCATTTTTACTGCTTGTGTAATTGAGAACGGTCATGCCCATTACATTACTTTTCTATTCTCTCACCTCAGTTAATCACAGAGACTTTCAGTCGCCACAATAAACTTGCTCTAAAAGCCCAAAAAGAGAAGAAAGCTCGTCAAGAAGCAGAACAGCGGGAAAAAGCAGAACGAGCCGCCAAACTTGCCAAAGAAACTAAACAGGAAGACAGTGAGCCAAGGATTAAGGAGCTGACTGATGAGGAGGCAGAAAGATTGCAACTGGAAATAGACCAGGTATGAATCTGCTTCCCTCTATTGGTGGGGCATAATACAACAATGGTATATATAGAAAATCCCCTTTTTAATTTTTATGTGGCCCATTCAGTGCTATCATTTGTATCGGATGTGAGTGATGAAATGTGATTACTGCTATCGCTAAGATGCTTCAATGTGCATATCACAAATAAAACAGGCTTAAAGAGGTGATACTCTTTTGAAACAGAACAAAGAGAAGAAAGAAAATGATGCACCAGTCAAGTCTTCTGAAAAACAAGTGGAATCTCCTGAATCCAGCAAGCAAGTAATGTCTTTTTCAAGATTTTAGCTGCTGGCACAAAAGACAATTCCTGATCTGTTTTCTATATTATTGCTTTAAGATGGTTGAAAATAAGGAAGGTGTTATCCAGAATACTGTAACTAGAACATAAATTCTAGCATTTATTCAGGTATATGCCAGAGGACACCCCATCCCCACCTTATCCCAAGATTGGATTTGGGCAAAAGGACCTTTGTGGTGTTTTTTTTAAAAACCTGTCTTAAGCAGAAAAGACTTTGAAGAAAGTTGTACCCATATATGTAGAATAGCTGAATTGCCATCTCTATAAATAATGCAGTAAACAGAAAATACCAATCATTAAAAAGTTCTGAGAAGTATTTTATGTACATTCCTATGTTATATAAGGATACCGATGAAGAAGAGGAAGATGAGAAGGACAAAGGCAAACTTAAGCCAAACTCTGGAAATGGAGCAGACCTGCCAAACTACAGGTGGACACAAACTCTTTCTGAACTGGATGTAAGTTGTAGATTTTGAAGAACATGCTAAGTTTTACATAATAGTCACTGATTTTTATGAGGAAAATGAATCAGTGAAATATTTAATTGTGATTCATAAGTCTCTTTTGGATAATAAAGGGGAAAAAAATCTGACTGTGGGAATCTACGAATTAATGAATAGCTGCTTCACTTTCTTTTAGAATTGGCCATAGAATATTATTCTGTGTCAGGAATAGAAGAGTAAGCAGAACTGTAATGAAATAGACTGTTGTAAGTGTAGCTAAGAACAACAAAGATGGTGAGGAGTTTGCTATCAATGAAAAAGTTCAATAACTGAGTATGTTTAGGCTACAGAAGAGAAGGCTAAGGAGACTTGAGGGTAGGACAAGAACCAGGGGGTGGCAGTTTTACAGAGCAATATTGAAACTTGAAATAAGGAGGAATTCCCTGAACACAAGAAGTAATTTACAGTGGAACAGTTTGTCTCGTGAATCATGGGTGCTTCATCATTGGAAGTATTCAGATAAAGCCATTTATCTGCGTTGGTTTGAGGATTCTTGTCCTTGGCAAGAGGGTAAATAGAAGACTTCCAAGGTCCCTTGCAATCCTAGGATTCTATTAATGGTGATGTTTATGTCTTCCCTGCTTGAGGTTTTCATGAAGAATTCACTGTTCTCTTTTCCTGTTTTCTCTAGTTGGCCATCCCATTCAATGTGAGCTTCAAACTGAAGGGAAAAGATATGGTGGTTGATATACAGAGGCGTCATCTGAAGGTGGGCTTAAAGGGCCACCCCCCCATGATTGATGGAGACCTATGCAATGAGGTGAAGGTGGAGGAGAGCTCATGGCTGATTGAGGATGGGAAAATAGTCACAGTGCACTTGGAAAAGGTACAAAGCAAATGTTTCTGGGTGTTAGTTAAATGATGATTTTGCAAGACTTCTCATATAAGGTGATTGCTTTATATTTAATACTTGTTAACCCCAAACAATATGCATGCAGTAATATTGTGATGAGACAGAAGAATATGATGCATCAGGATACATAAATCACAAAAGTTACGTTCTTATTGCATATGCCACATCCAAAGAAGCTGATATATTCTACATAATAATATTTCTCTTTTCACTGTAGATCAACAAGATGGAATGGTGGAACAAGTTAGTCCAAACAGACCCAGAGATTAACACCAAGAAAATTAACCCTGAGAATTCAAAAGTGAGTGATTCTTTGGTCAGGTTTTGTTTTAACTCAAGAGTGTTGCTCGACCATTTGTGGCCCATATTTCACTTCTGGGTTGGATTGGTGACCTTGGTGGATGTGGGTGTGACCCAGGCAGGCACGCTCTTCACATACACACAAATTATCAGGGATTATTGCATGGCCGAATGTTTTAACTCTGCGAACACCACCCCACCCCCTGTGATTGCCACTGGAAGTAAGGAGTCATTCCAGCTGCTAATATGAACAAGGGTAGAGCAGATCCCTGCTGCTCACCTGCAACTTGGTATGGGTTAAAGTGGGTCAACACCCACAATTCAGAGAGGAGACAACCATGCACTGTCTTTATCCTCCTGTGATAGAGAAAGATTAGAGTCATTGAATTTCACAGACTGTTGAAATGTTTATTGTTAGCAGCACGATGGAATCCGTTACTTTATTGAATTGTAACCATAGTCTGTTTCAACAAATGGCAGCATCTGACTGACCGTCCCAGGCAGGATTCCTTTTTGTTAGCTCTTTGAAGTAGATCAGGGCAAGGGGAAAAAAACAACTGTGGAGATTCCATGAATTTTATGCTATTGTAAGGTTTATTAACAGTTTGAAAGCCAATATAACAGCTTAACAGTTCACTCATACCTTTTTCAAGGTCAGCTCTTAATTCCTTTACAGCTAGTACTTAGATGTAAAACCTTTCCAGGGTGTAGTTTCCAAACACCCAAGAAGAAAGGAGCGGCAAACTGTTGTTTTTTTTTAAATAAAAAAACCTACTGTACAATCTAATGTGTATTTTCCTAAGCAAGTCAGTTTCTTTTTTACATGCTGCTCCTGGCGAGCAAAGACTTCCTCCTTCAAACATTTAGATAAGTTTCAACGGCTGTCTCTCTGGAGCTCTTGTTCAAGGCCTTGAAGAGCTGCAGCTGCTGCTGCTGCTGCTGCTGAATATACAGCCGTGAAAACCAGAAGACAGTTTTGGTGGTTGTGGGACCAAAGGGGGGGGGGGGATGGAATCAGCCTTTCCTTGCTATGTATACAAGTGTTATTAATTTGGCTTTATTAACTGGTATCTAGAAAGTGAGCGACAAATGTATAAATTAATATGAATTTCTCTGATACATTTCTCTCAATTTCCAAGTTATCAGACTTAGATAGTGAAACACGCAGCATGGTTGAGAAAATGATGTATGATCAGCGACAGAAATCAATGGGGCTTCCGACATCGGACGAGCAGAAGAAGCAGGACATACTGAAAAAGTGAGTAAGGCCAGTTTTACACTGTGAAGAAGGGAGCATCAACTTATTTTCCAGGCTTGCCCTCTAATGGGGGGAAGGGGCTACGGCATTAATAGAGACAGCCCAGCAAGTAAGTGCTGTGTAGAGACTACGAAGCCAGGCAGTACCATCTCGGCCTGAACTATGACGTGGTGTCTCTGCCTCTAATCTCCATGTGCCTCCAAGTCAGATAACACACCGCTCACTAGACAATCATGCATTTTATTGTTTTATTGCCCTGCTTGTCAGAGATCTCAGTAGAAGCTTCTGTGAGTAATTCCCCTGTTAAGGCCAGATAGGGTGATGTGCATCAAGTTGCAAGCGGGGTAATTAAAGGTCAAACGCTTTTCATCAATCATTCTAAATAGCTCAAGCAGAGAAAAGGGATAAAGCCAGAAGTGGGGGCAATTTCTGTCTCTTTCCCTGGCTAATCTCCATAGGCACAGTGTCACAGCTTGGATATGAGGCCTTTTTCTAGTATCAGTAGTGGCGTATTCAAACAAGCAATGCTTTTCGGAAAATGTATAATTTTTGTTCTGGATGTTGCACTGCAGTTTAGCCCTTTCAGTCCACCAAGTTACGAGCTGTTTGCCTTCCACCTCCTTCCAAGCTCTCCACTGTGTCTCTTCTTTGGGTCTTAGTTCTTCCACTATGTGTGATATCATTAAGGGTGTTCTTAGTTAATAATTCAGCTATTTTACAGATTGGCTCATTAAGAAGTCTTGGAAAAGTGCCATTCAGCCCCAACGATATTCTTAATTTGTCTGTTAGCTCTAAAACTTTACCCTTTGCCCTTCTGCTGGGTAACGTTTTCAGATAGTGTGGAAAAGTGACCCCATGAAGTAGTCACAGTGTCCTCCCCCAGTAGGTTGGCTAAATAACATATCAGTAAATAAAACAATTTGGGGGTGGGGAGGGGGGAAATGGTGTGCTTTCAGGTGATCTTAGTAAGTGCTCTGAGCTTAGTAAGTTAGAGTCAGTTTTGTGAATAACTCCGTGCCCCTGTTTCTATGTATTTCAGTGGAGCAAGTTAGGGGGCAAAAGCCTTCCATATCTTTCTATAAAATGGGAGCTTTAGCCTGATCTTACATAAATGTAATTGGATGAACTCCACCAATTACATAGACTTCAAGAATGTAAAATAGCTTGAAACTAATAGGTAAAGGTTCCCCCTCGCACATATGTGCTAGTCGTTCTCGACCCTAGGGGGCAGTGCTCATTTCCATCTCAAAGCCGAAGAGCCAGTGCTGTCCGAAGATGTCTCTGTGGTCATGTGGCCAACATGACTAAATGCCAAAGGCGCACGGAGCTCTGTTACCTTCTCACCAAAGGTGGTCCCTATTTTTCTACTTGTATTGTTACATGCTTTCAAACTGCTAGGTTGGCAGAAGCTGGGACAAGTAACAGGAGCTCATTCTGTTGGGCGGCACTAGGGATTCCAACTGCTGAACTCCGACCTTCTGATCAACAAGCTCAGCATCTTAGCCACTGGGCCACCACATTCCTTGAAAATAATTCTAAGTACTAAACATGATCTGATTCTGCTAACTGGCATTTGGTGAGACAATTGTAATGGGAAAAGGATGTCAGAAGTGCTATTTCTGAACAGTATGATTTCCAAAACCTCTAGTAAGAAATATCCCATTCAAGCGATGCACAAACAAGAATATTTGCTTGCATTGGAAAATTCGTATTTGACCTAGAGCTAATCGTTCCTAAGGGCAATATCTGATTGATTTGTCATTGCCATTTTACAACTGTTGGGTTCCATAATGGAACAGTTTTACTGATAATGTGAAGGACAGAGCTGATGTGATTCTACATAAGTCATGGCCAGTAATGTCACAGTGATAGCTTATAAATTTGTTACCTAACAAAATGGGAGTTTCTGTATTTTACTATTCTATAATGTTATATTATTATAAATAATAATTGGATTATTTATTATTGCTTTTACATGGACTGTTCACTCCCCATTTTTTGAAATGCACATTGCTTCCGGAGACCAGTGTTTGATTGAAGAAAGAGAGAGAGAAGAAAGGAAAGAAAGAAAGAAATAAAATAAATAAATTGTGGCTGAAATTGGATTAATAAGGGAAACTGGATTCCCTTATTACCTAATGATGTTTTGGGCATTATCCTTCTAAGGCAGGGTTGTCAAACTCCCAGCACACAGGCCGGATGCGTCACATGCTGGCCACGCCTATGCCCTGTTTAGCGAAGGGGGAAAAGTCCTGATATGTTACGTGACGATGCTATGAGTTTGACACTCCTGTTCTAAGGCAGGGGTCTCCAACTTGGCAACTTTAAGTCTGGCGGACTTCAACTCCCAGAATTCCCCAGCCAGCAAAGCTGGGAGTTGAAATCTGCCAGGCTTAAAGTTGCCAGGGTTGGAGATCCCTGTTCTAAGTATCTTTTCTGAGACCTTGTTTTATATACAGCAGCCAAACTATCTAACATCAACAATTAGAAACTTTTTCTTTCCAATTTGGGGGGTGGGGTGGAAGGGAACTGTGGCTGAGGAATATAAATGCTGGTATTCTTTATCCCTGTCAACTAATACTCCTTTCTCTCCCTTTTGCAGGTTCATGGAACAGCATCCTGAAATGGATTTTTCAAAAGCAAAATTCAATTAATACAATTACCCCTATTTTTTCCTCCTTTCCTGACAAACGTTCAAATTTTAAAGAGCAAGAAATACCTTTTGGATGATGTATACACTCACATCACTCCCATTTGGGGGTTAAAAATACTATAGTTGTACTCCATATAGAATACTGCTTAGACTTCTGGATTTTCAGCATCAGTGATCAGAAGCCTGTTCTTCACCTTTCTAAGGCAATATTTTAGGGAGATGAAGGATTGAAATAATTGGGAGCTGCATTACACAATAATTGCTTTCCCTTGGGCTTCTCTTAGCTTTGAAAAATATGGGAAGGTATCATTTAATATTTTTTTTTAAATTTTGAGTTGATATTCACCCTTGATCATACTCTTGCTCCTAAATAAAGAGCTGGAAGGCTACCTTCAAAATAACGTCACTCTTTTGTTTCAAAAACCAAGGAACCATTACAGATACAACTCCGTATAACAACCAGGAACGGCTTCAAAATCAATCAAAGCACTGACAATCTTTAAAAATCTTTGGCATGTTCCCTTTGAGCCATTACTCCAAGGTGTAGCACTGCAAGAATGTATATTCTGGATATATACAGGTTGCTACTTAGAGGTTACAGTGAGGAGCAGCTTCATCACAGATCCATGTATCTGACATTCGTTACTATTTATTACTTCCAGAGTTAACACGGCAGTCATAAGTAGTGAAACCTAGAGTACATTCATTCAGGATTTGGGACAGATTGCAAGAATGCTAAGATCTTTAATAATGTGATACACTGGTCTTATTTTATGTTATTGTCCTTCACTGTTTCCCCAAGTCATTTTGTAACTTATCTCAGAGCTTTGATGGGAATAGACTCCAAGGTTTAGGAAGCTACAAAACACTTCATTGTTCCTGTTGCAATATTGAAGTTGGGGAGTTTCAAATCCAGTCTGCATCCAAGGGAAATTAGGATGTGGCTATTATATCCCTGATTCCACCAGGGAATCTAAGGAGTTGTGCTCATCTTAAGCCAATCTCCTGAATTGTGTTGATATGAGAAAATGAGATGCCAACAATAACTGAGGCTATTCTGCTGTTAAAGGGAACAAAAGAAGAAGCAGATCTCTGGCTTCCTGAAAAAGAGCTGTCCACCTTGTCAAATCTGTTTTTCCCCCCAGAATTGAACATGTCAGTCAAGAACATTTTGTTCTGTTTTGTTGCTTTCAGATAGCTCATATTTTGCATGCACGATTAAAAAGGTGGTGCTTTCACGCGTTTTCAAACTCATGATTATCAGGGTATCCAGAAGCAAGCTATCCAAGATGATTAGCAGCTCTAAATAAACTCCCCTGTACCTTTCTGCTCTCTCCAGTTAATTTGTTTGTCTGTGTTTTGACTGCACTGAAGAAAATGAACAACAATGGAATATAAGGCTACTTCCAGAATGCTAGATAGCCTCCAGCAATGTGTATATAAATTGGAGGAGGGGTGTATACTTTGGGTTTCCCACAGTAATGTCTTGGATGTTTCGGGAGTAGAGATCTCAGCATTTCAAGCCTCCGTGGCTGGGAGTTCTGAACCTTGCAGTTGTACCACATCTGGAGGAGTGAAAACATCTGGAAAAAATAGTCGATTTCCATCAGTTCTGGATTGCCAGATGCATCAAGTATTTTAGTGTTTCTTCCCTGCCAGAAACTACATGTTGTTACTTCCTTCTCAGACTGCAGACCAATGACCCAAGGGGGAAAATGGGCTTAATTCATTGGCATGTCAACTGAGGTAGTGTACAATGATCCAAATCCCCCTTTTCTCTTGAATCTGGATTGCTAGAGGTAAAGGTTCCACTTGCACATAAGTGCTAGTCATTCTCGACTCTAGGGGGCAGTGCTCATCTCTTTCAATTCCGAAGACATCTCCGTGGTCATATGGCTGGCATGAGTAAACACCTAAGGTGCACCAAAGGTGGTTCCCATTTTTCCCACTTGCATTTTTATGTGATTTTGAACTGCTAGGTTGGCAGAAGCTGGGACAAGTAACGGGAGCTCGCTCCGTTATGCGACACTAGGGATTTGAATTGCCGACCTTTCTGATCGACAAGCTCAGCGTCTTAGCCACTGCATGACACAGCCTTATTTTCTGCCATAGGGCAATAATGGTGTTAATTGCCTCTGCACACTTGCATTCTTGTCACTCTGTTGGACTTTTGACCACCATAGCCAGCTTTCCCAAACATGGTCCTGTGTATAAATGCTACTTGTAGAAAAATAGTTTGTGGAGTATTTGATTCTCCTATGGAAGCTTCGTCCACTTGTTGGATGTCTTCCAAGGGAACCCACAAAAAAAAGGTGGGAGGGAAAACCTGCCTGTAACTTTGTCTTCCCTCCACCCAATTAAATTTGGAAGTACCATCATTAAGAAAGCATAAGTAAGGCTTCAACAAATTGGCAACTAGCAATAGCAGTTAGACTTATATGCAGCTTCATAGGGCTTTCAGCCCTCTAAGCGGTTTACAGAGTCAGCGTATTGCCCCCAACAATCCTGGTCCTCTACTGCTCTCTGACCTTACTGGAGCCTCTGTTCAATCTGAATTTGTATTAAAAAGAAAACTAAACATGCTATACATTTTCAGTATCTCTCCGAATAAGACAACTACACCACACTTTTAGGCGTTGTGAGCCTGCTGGCTCTTTTTTTCATCCCTTGCCTCTTCATTATTAGCCAAGAGCAGCTGTCTGAGTTAAACAATCTTTAGATTACATGACTTCCAGGTTGCTTATTCCAAGGCTAAAACTTTATGGACTGTTTGCAAAAGACTCTCTTTGTTGGACTTGGTGTGTGTGTGTGCGTTATTTGAACTCCTTGGCAGTGACCCCTATCATTTCCTGAAACCTGATTACAGACTGGAGCCTTGGTGCCATGGTACAGGCTGGGTTAATGACTTTGTTTATACTGATACCAGCGATCCCCGTTAAGGGTCCAAGTCTTCTGGCACCTTCATTGAGAAAATAGTCCTCTGAGCCACGTGGAGACCTCACTTCAATTCTAACCAATCAGCCCGAGAGCAGCCCTTGTTTTTCAATGAACTGCTGCTGCTCGTCAACGGGAGGTCAAGGCTGCTGAAGTGGGTGGATTCATTCGCCCATTCAGGAGCCTTATAAGCAGAGATGATAGCAGCCGAGGAGAGGGCGAAAGGAGCCGCAGAGTAAGGAGAGCTGTAGCTGAAGGGGTTGGACGCTTGCCGAAGCAGCAGGCGGGAGAGGGAAGCGCTCGCTTTTGATTGTGCTGAGTGAGTCAGCTTGGCTCTCGCATGAATAATGGAGTGTGGGAAGTGTCCTTGTCATCACGAGAACGGTGGGAATGCCATTCTCTACACCCTGCTAAGTGAGAACCTGACTCACCACAAGGGTAGCCGTGGCTCTTCCCAACAACGCTGCTTGTGCCACAAGCGCCGCACCGTTTGCCTTCAGACCCCACAAGCTACTTGCCAGGCGGCTTCCGGCGTCTTGGTGAAGACCATCAGCTTCATGAAGAACCTGCCTTCTTTCCAGCTCCTGCCTTGGGAAGACCAGCTCTTGCTGCTGGACAGTTGCTGGGCTCCCCTTTTCCTTCTGGGCTTGGTGCAGGAGATGGTGACCTTTGAGGTTACCGAGACCCCCGTGCCCAGCATGCTGGAGAGGATCCTCCTTGACGGCCAGTGCAAGAGACCGGAGTTGCAGCGGGTGCAGCCCACCCTGGCCAGCGTGCAGCGCCTCCAGTGCTGCTTAAACTCTTTCTGGAGTCTAGACTTGAGTCCTAAAGAATACGCCTATCTGAAAGGCGCAATTCTGTTCAACCCGGGTAAGTGCCGTGTCCATGCATGGAAGGTCATCAGAGGGCCACACTCCACCCAATTGCTTTTTTTCCTCATAATTGATGGGAAAACAAGCGATATTCTTCCATAGACTCTCAGGCTTGGCTAGTTTCATTCCTTTTAGTAGTCAAACAAAAAATTACGAGCATCATTGCTCAAATTATGCTGCTGAGGTTTTTTTTTAATCCAAAGATTAAACTTTATATAACCAAAGCAGCGTCAACTATTGCCATTAGAAGAGTAATCCACCTGTTGAGGCTGTTTTGTCATTCAGAGTCACTTTGGATAGTGAGGTGGGCAGTCTAAATTTAATAAATTATCTGCTATAAAGATACATATCAACATGCACTTTAAAAACACAGAGAAAAACTAAGTATCAACAGGACAAGAATACGTTCACTGATTTGTAAATTAATGAATTTGTGGTGGTGGATCTTTGAGGAAATGAAGCTTTTTATGGACAAAAGCATTATGTTCTATTAAAATATGTGCAAACTTATAGTAAGGCAAGAACTTAGAGGGATTTTTTGTGGATAAAGGAAACTGCTTTTTAATTCTGTGTTCAGCAGTGATAGTATTCATAAAATACTTAATTACATCAGGAATATCTTTTTATAGGATTAGAAGTTGTTTTTTTTATCAGATGAAACAAAGCTGTAGATTTCAGGATAATATCAGCTGCACCTCTCATAGAAGAGGTTCAGGAATGAATAATGAGGAATAAATAATGCAATTGAACACACTCTAATGGGTTAACTTTGCATAATTTAATCTTCTAGCACAGGCAAATGAAGGAAATCAGTTTACCTTTTCAAGGATTCTGTGATTAATTTCAGATTCTCTCTCTCCCCCCTCCCCCTCCTTCCAGACATTCCAGGGCTCCGTGCTTCCTTGTACATTGAGAGCCTCCAGCGAGAAGCTCAGCAAGCACTCCAACAAGTCCTAGTGCTTCTCCACTTAGAAGATCAAGGTCGATTTGCCCGAGTCCTGCTGAGCTCCTCCTCCCTGAGATCCATTCCTCCAACTCTCATTACAGATCTTTTCTTCGAACCCATCATTGGAAAGACAGACATTCTTGAGCTTTTAATAGAAATGCTGCTGATGAAATAGTTTTAAGTAAGCTTAAACCATCCTCGTGCTGTTGGGTCAGGCAACTCAACTGGTATTCGATTGCAAGAGAATGCACAATGACTTTTGGAACACCCGACGGACAAAGCATAACATCTTACCAATCACTCTGCAGACAAAGGAGGTGCTCGTGGGTGAACTCGTGTTTTATTCCTGAACAATGCAAGAATGCAACATGCACCCAAGCTCTGTGAAGTATTGCACTTGTAACAAGGTGTTTGGAGCAGGTAATTCCTGAGCTAGCATAGCAACGTTCGTAGCAAACGTATTGCCACCACAAAACTCTGCCAGGTCCTCAGTGTCGTCAGTTGCAGTGATGGAATAAAAACCCTGACTAACAAATCTTGTTCAAAGATACCTGCAGCTCCAAAGTGAGGCATACAGTATTGATTTTTTTTACTTCATTTATATTGGCTTCAGTTTCAAAGTTCAATTTCCAAAGGGATGTCTTGCCTACAGAAAGGCTCCTGGGAACTGCCATTGACTGGGAAATAACCCACAGTTTCCCTTCCAAAATATAACCCCAGAATTTCCTAGTAAAAAAAAAAAAAGAGCCAGGAGATTTTTTCAGAATTCAACCAGCCTCTCCCAGTTCCTAAAAAAAGGATATGCATCTAAATGCAACTCATTTTTTCTAAACAATTTTTAAAATAAGAATATTGACCTGCATAATCATACATTCCAATCTTCAAGTGCAAACACTTTGCTTTAAGGTATCCTGACTTTTGTATAGATTTGTGCATTGAGGAAAGCTAAGGTCAGAAAATGTCAATTTCCATTATTCATCATTTTCCTGCTTGACGAGGGTTTCTTTTCCCCTCCAGCTTGCTTCATGTAGTGTTGCCTAAAGCAGCTGTTTTTCTCCTCTCCAGTTTATAGTATTGTTCTATGCTGGTTTCTGCCCTTTTTGCACAGATTCCCAATGTTAGTATTTTGTGAGTAGGTGCTTCTCAAGATTTGTATGTAGTAAGAAAGCTAAGTTATTGTTTTTTAAAGAAAAAAATAAAAGCATTTGCAGTTTGTTTTGTGACTATTTATTAATGAATGCTGAAAAGATATATCCATCTATCTCCAATTTCACATGATGATTTCATCCTAAGCCAAAATCAAGACATACGTGTCTAGTTCTTGATATCAATGGGCATTATTTCAGTAGTTTTTGAAACTGTTGGAAGAAATATCCATCTGCTTCAGTTCCAAGCCGGGAGAAAGATACTGGAGACAAAATGGAGCCTGGAGGCTGATTGGAAAGATGGTTTAATGTTGAAGCAGAACCACCAAGCACATGGTTCTGGGCAGCTGACCACATGGAGTTGAGAGGGGGGGGGGTTCTCTCTTGAACTTTGCACTTGAGCTGCCTGTTCCTATGCAAGAACATGTATTCTATTGGCTGTTGTCAGGCTCCCATGGGGCCATGTGGGGTCATGTTTGTCTGAGATAAGTTTGGTTGAAGTTTGTTGGTTGATGCAATGTCCCCATTGATTGTGCCATGTGGTGAGCTCTGCTGCTAAATAGGTTAATCTTATTATGTCCTGGAGGGTCATGTCTTAATCCCATCACCCTGGAACTGAAGGTCTTTTGTCTTGTAGATAGGCTGGCCCAGTCCTGCTGGGGCTATTTAAAAAAAGGGGGGTGCTTTCCAAGAGCATGTTTCTCTTTTAGGGAAATATATTCTGCCTTTTAAATATTTCTCAAAATATTTCATTCTTCTAGGAAATGAGTGGTTGCTAGCTTTGTACAAAATGGTCATACAGAAAACAGTTCCTATGATGAGAGGTCAGAGTGAGACTATGCCTACTCTGAAGGAGAGAAGGTTGATGGGAACATAAAAGTAATACTTGACCTGTCATAAGAAGGCCAAGATTTCTTCTCTGCTTCCTCAAAGGGCAGGAATATATGGAGGAATGTTAGAAAGCAGTTTGATAATGTACCCTTGAGGTGGTGACCTCTTACTGGCTAGAAGTGTTTCAGGACAGTTGGACATCTTGGGTGGAGAATTTTCTACTAGAAGTAGAAAATTTAGATATCCAATCCTTCATTATAGGTAGTCCTCAACTTACAGCAGTTCACTTAGTGACCATTTGAAGTTACTATGGCACTGCAAACAGTGACTTACCACCATTTTTCACATGACCATTGCAGTATCCTCACAATCATATGAAGTTTGGCAACTTACTTTTATGATGGTTGCAGTGTCCTGGGGTCATGTGATTACCATTTACAACCTTCTGATAAGCAAAGTTAATTGGGAAACCAGATTGATTTAACAATCATATTACCATCACGTTACTACTTTTAACAACTGCAGTGATTCAGTTAACAGCTGTGGCAAGAAAAGTCTTGAAATGAGGCAAAATTCACTTAACAAATGGCTCACTTACCAACAGAATTGATGAGCTCCATTTGGTTGTAAGGCAACCAAATTATTAATCTCTAACTATTGCTTGCTTGAATAATTTAACACCCATCTGGCTTTGCAGAAATATGTACCCAAAATAACAGAAGGAGCTCATGTAATGCAAAGTCTAGCCAGGTGCACCTTCTTCTGCCCAGATGCAGCCCCCAATTCTGCACAACAACCAATAGGAATGCACACCTTGCCCAGAAGAATCCAGAGCCTGAGTGTCTTAATGGTCAAGTAATACATCTCAGTTCAGAGACTGCAGGAGAACAGAATAACAGAGTTGGAAGGGACCTTGGAGGTCTTCTAGCCCAACCCCCTGCTTAGGCAGGAAACCCTACACTTCAGACAAATGGATAGCCAACATCTTCTTAAAAAACCCCAGTGTTGGAGCATTCACAACTTCTGCAGGCAAGTTGCTCCACTGGTTAATTGTTCTAACTGTCAGGAAATTTC